GAAGAGCGGAGCGGGGTGGCCTTGCTGGCTGGCATGCAGAGCGGGCGATGCAGGAAAACTGGGTTTTGTGATTTGACTTTGCCACAGTCAACAAATGCTGTGTAAGGGACGTCCGGTGTCATGGTGGTTCTCTCAAAATCTTTGTGTTCCTTTGGACAGGTGCCCCCTACAAAGCTCTGTCACTGCTGGGACTGCGTTTGTGGCCACGCATGGCCAGGCGTCTTTCCAAAGGACCGAGCGCCCAATTTCTCCAAACCATTGACGCCATTAGCCTTGCTGTGTATCCAATGAATTTGGGAGAGCCCTCTGGGCATCAGGGTCATGGATTCAACGTGGATAGAAAAAGATCCTCCCAAAATCCTGGTACAACTAGTGACTAACCCAGCTGTGAATGGCCCTAGTTGGACTCACAACCTGGGATCACCGCCCCTATCTACAGAGTTGCCGTCATGGCCAGAGCGCATAGGGATTGCAGAGGGACTTGCTCCTGATCCCCAAACTCGAGCCTGTTTCGTGTGGTTATAGGGAGTGCCTGATCTTTCTGTAGCTGGATGGCACCGCCACAGCCAGGGCTTTGAATCAGGACGCCAAGAATATCAGGTTTAAAAGAGCCAGGCAGTGTTTCTGAGCAGCTAAGAGCTTCTTTGGAGGTTCAACACTCCTTAAAGCTTGTGCCTGTGGAGCACAAGGTCAACTGGAGCACTTTGGTCCTGTCGTCCCTATGCACTAGTGTAAGAGTTAGAAGTAGGAGAGGGGAAAGCTCAATGCTGTCCCCACCCCTGTCAACAAACACCACCTTAAATGGAGGCAAGCTTTGTTTAAGTTAATCTATAAGGGGGAAAAAAAAGAAAAAAAGCAACAGAGTAAAAGCTCCTCTTTTAGTTGTAAGTAGTGCATTTGAGACGATAGAGTTACCTGCAGGAACCGTTTCAAAGGCAGCTTGCATTTAGATCATTTAGTGCTCCATTTAAATCAGACAATAAAGTCATTGCAAGGTGAAGGTAAAAGCCCAAGCAAGCAGCATACTTACACTCGTGATATCCTACGAGAGAGGTGTGATTAGGAAAAGAGATAATCGTGAAAACAAGTTAAAAAAAAAAAAACGGAGCAGCGGATCAGAATGTCACGTCGCCCCGTTGGCAGGGCAGGGTAGGGACGGGGAGGCTCTGTGAGCCGGTCTCCCGCTTTGGAGGGGGCCTTGTGTGCCCAGAGCTACAGCCCGGTCCAATGCAGGGTCTTGGGGCAGACCAGACCTTTTGGAAGGCAGAAAGGGGCGCAGCAGAGCCGGCCTTGGGCTACGGAGCGAATCACCAGAGCCTCCCTGTTCCCTGCCAGAGTGTCCTGGTAGTTCCCAAGTACTATCTTGGGAAAGGGGCAAAAAATGGGGAATGCGCTGTAGGCGTCTAGCTCGTGGATGTCAGCTGGTAAACAATCCTCAGCACATACACACATAATATGCATGCATGCGTGCAAACAATGCCAAAATGCACAAAAGTGCTTTCCAAGCACGTGCGAGACCCGCCTGGTCCCTGTGTACCCTCCTGACAACATCTATGTGCCGTGTATTGATGTGAAATGAGGTGTTCTCACACCATAAAAGAAGAGATACTCACTCCTAAAAAAGAGGTATCCCCCCAAAAAACAACTTCAATTCATCCTGAGGATTTGCTTTCACATTAAATCTAAAAAAATCCAAGCAGACTTTACTGCTGAAGGAGGAGGCCAGGCTTATCCTACTTTGCTCCTCACAAGACTCAGCAATGGAGCGGCCACAGCACATGCTGCTTGGAAAATTATTAATTATTAATCTTGGCTGATCGCTTTGCTGTCAGCTCAGCTGGTGACTTGCTCATCGCCGCACGGCTGCGAGGCCCATGGCAAGGGGAGGGACAGGAGCAGGGCCACTCCTCCTCTGAGGACATGGAGGTCCATCAGAAGAAGGTGTCATCAAAGTCACCTCCTTCCACGTGCAGGATGAGCATCCCTCCAACTGCAGCTACGTGCTAGAGAGGCAACAAAGGAAGGGAATCCCTCTCTTAGGGACTGAAGCAAATGTGCTGCCCTGATAGGGGAAAACACCATTGGGGCTGGGATTTTCGAAGGGGACGAGGAGTGTGGGACAGAGCTGGCAGCATTGCCCTGCAGAGCAGCCTACATAGTGCAGCACATGTGACGCGTTCCCTCCGTGCTCTCTTGACCGTGTTGGCCAACACCTGTCTCCAGCGTTTAAAGAACAGCCAGAAATGCTGCTCTGGCTGCTGGATAAGCATGTGCTCAGCGCACGACCTTTGTGAGCTTCCCGTCCATGCTGTTGGCTTGCTAGACTCCAGCCATGGCTTGTGGGCTCACTGCTGTGAAATCCCTGCACAAGCAGAGCTCACCTGAAGTGTCCTGGTGCCCCGGGCCAGCGCTCAGGCTCTGCTCTTCAGGCTGAAGCTGTGCAAAGCATTTGCTGGCATAAAAACTACGCGGGCAAGTCCAGACTTACGAGCGGCTCAGACTCCTGCTTACCTGACAGGACAGATCCTGCCCTTTCTAACAGCAACCTGTCCCCTAGATGGGCTTTTAGTCTGACATCTTCTCCATGGAGCCACAAGAGAGACATGCAGGCTACCAATTTTAAATTATTTTTTTGGGGGGCGGGTCTGCTTCGCTTCAGCTACCCCTTCATACAGTGGAAGCCTACTGTGAAAGAAGGGAAACTGCTTAAAAGCAAAGCAGAAAGAGCGAGCCTGGGCCAACGCAATGGGTTTTGATATAAAAAAAGGAATAGGTGCTAGCACGATAGCAAGGGATCTCCTATGAGAGCTTCTGCTGCAGACGGAAGGGTGACCACGCGGAAGGCAGGCTCCCCGGAGCCCCGCTCGTGGCGGCTGCTCGGCCAGGCAGCGCGCGTGACGGGAAGCACGGCACAGCCGGTGCTTGAAAAGTGTCCAGGGAGCGTCTGGACCTGCACTCACTTTTCCAGCAGGACGAGGGCCGTGGTGGGGTTCACGCGAAGGTACTTGCACGTGGGTTGCCCGTAGTCAGCCAAATACGTCGACCAATCCCACTGGATAAACAGATCTAAGAGCTGCAGCACAAACAGGGAGAAAACAAACACGAAGAGGTTTTTAAGAGTTGGCTGGAAAGCAGGTTTATCTCAAACTTGGCAAAAAATCTGAACAGGTGCCATTAAGCAGAAAAAAGGATGCAAAGCGTTTTACGATTTTAGCTAATTCAGCCATATCACACTCCTTCGGCGTGTTGCCTCTGTTTTAGGGGAGAAATGGAGGGGCTACGTGTGCAAGGGAGGAATCCAACACGTGGAGGAGGCCAGTGGCAGGGCCGCAGAAGCACCGCAGCATCCTGACACTCACAGCTCTGGTAGGAGGGCCTTGGTGTGGTTAAAGTCATGGACTTGTGTCCCCACGTTACCATCTGCCTCTCTTTAGCTGGACCCCAGGGATTTCCCATGGTGCTTGCTGAGACTTCTTCACATCTTCAAAATGTCTTTAATAAACAAAGCTCCCCAGGGGAAGCATGAGGACATCCAGGAAGGCAGTGGTTTATCTTAGGTTAATGCAGCTACAGAAGGAGCCCGGAGTCTCAGGTGGTTTCCAGACGTTCATTAGAGAAACCACTGACGTCCCCAGGCAGCTCTAGGGGGAAGGTGGCAATTCCTCAGATGAAGGCCTTCAGGTCTACAAAGCAAGCGCCTTGGTGCACCACACATGTGCTCTCACCTTGCCCAAGGCCCCCCTGTTCCTTGTGGCCTTCCCAGCATCAGCCCCGGGCTGGCCTTGACCTTGGGCAAGGAACAAGCAAATGAATCCCAGTGTTCCTGAATGCTTTCCCATGAGTCAGGATCTCAGAAGCTCCTTCAAGCTTCAGCCTTGCCTGCAGCGACTGCCCGGGACACCAGTACTTTCTCCACTCTCTCCCATCTCGACCACACAGACCACGCTCACAACACATTTGATGTCTGATCTCACCTACTCGATGCTCACGTCGATGCCTTTCGCAAGCATAATTCGGGCTGCTTTTGCCACTCGCCTCACCAGCAACATCACCCCAAACCTGCCTGCTCCCAACCTGATCTCCTCCCATTCCCTGGTGGCTCCTAACTTTTTCAGGGCAGTGAATAGGACAGAGCAAGTTTTGGTGGTCCACCAACCCCCAGCATCCTTGGACTCCTTGTGAAGTGGCCAAGAATGTTAACAAAGTAAATAAATAAATACACAAATAAATAAAAACAAACCACTGTCACTAGTCTTGAAGACCCCAGCCAAGGCATCACATCCCTGCATAACATGACTGGGCCCTCAGGCCAAGAGCTTTAATGCCACTTGCCATCCTACGTACAGGGCATCACTGTCCTGCTGTTTTCCGAAGCAGCAGTAATTAAGTGGTAGCTCCCAGCCCTTTCTCCCGCTAAACCTCCATCCCTCTTGGCCTCGCCAGGTTCTTGCAGCCACAGGGATGGAGCGGGCAGAGGCACCGAACGGCTCCAAGCCCCGGGGAACAAGTTAATTAAGAGCGGCCACCCTGCAGCCTCCTGTCGCCCCTGTGACCGCTCTATCGCCGAGGCGGCCTGCGACGCCGCCGATTTGGCCACGCCAGGACCTCGGGGTCCCAGAGAGAAACGCGCGACACGATCCTTTTTGACTATGTAGGTCAGGGCGAAGAAAGCGAGCGGCCGGGAACAATCGCCAGCCCCGGCGGGGGGGACGGATTAGCCGGGACCTCGCGGGGCTTTTCCGACGCGGCGCTTTTGCCCGGGAGGTCCGTGACGGGGCTCCTGCACCTCGGCGTCGCGCCGGGGCCGCCCGGCACCCGCGGGAGGGTGTTTTTTTCCAAAGGCAAGCGCTCATGTCCTTCCCGTGCTCTTCCCGCCCGCCGGGCACCTCTTGAAGCAATCCAAGGGAGTCCAACCTGCGGGAAGTGCACGAGGCTGCCGGGAGCCAAGTCGCGACAGTGACAGATGCTCTGTGTGTTTTGCGACTGTTGACCCACATCCATCTGGACAGAGTAGGACAGCTGCAAGGGTGCCTGGGAACAGCCTGGCTGGCACCTTTGGTCTCCGAGCTCCCCGGGAGCAGCAATGTCAGGAGCTCTTCCGGGGACGGCAGAGGAGAGGACACGCAGCCAGCAAGCTCGGTGCACTCCGTCTCTCTGCCATCTATCTGTCACATAAATGTGGTTTTATTGGTTTTACTGTTTAAACTTTTCAACTCTGCAGCTAAATCTGAAAAAGGGAGGTGGAAAAAAAAAAAGAAAATAAGTAGTTGTGCGCGCAGGCCCCCGCAGCCCTGCTCCTCTGAGGGCTCAGGCGAGTCTTCCGGGGCAGATTCCAAAATAAAATATGCAAATACCATTAATTCTTCCAACTAAAGAGTCTCCTTTTCAAGGCTATAAATCAAACTCGACAGCGCGCGCACTGGGGGGAAAGGAAAAGAAGTGACGGGGGGAGAGAAAAAGGGGGAAAAAAAGAAAGGAGCTTTGAGTGTGCTTATATTAAAGCGCAATAGGCTCGGGAAACTACAGGGACTGTGCGAGACAGCGGGCTTGCAGCTTGTGAGAAGCCTTGATTCTCAGGGGTGAGAAAAGCGTGCAAAAAATAAGAACAAAAACACAGAAGGGGCAGGTCGATCTGTTCACAGGTGTCTCTCTGAAAATGAACACATGGAGAATGGTTGGTGTTTGGCCTTCAAAAGCGAGGTCTGGGAAGCGGAAGGGTTCTTAGGCGTGCGCATAGCACAAGCAACACGGTGAAACCCCGGGTCCCGGCCTGGCCGCAGCCCCGCTTTGTGAGGGCCGAACGTCACCTCCTCTCCTTCCATCTCTGTAAAAAAAAACTGCTCAAAACACGTTTTTCCCACTTCCCTCATCATTATCAATTTCTTTCAAGCACAGATCATTTCCCAGCATGGTTTTGCAGGCCTCCCGTCAAGCGTAGGGACAGGATGGCTATGGTTTAAGAGCATGCTTGTGGCAACAGGGACACGACAATGCCTCTGTGAGCATCTCTCCTCCATGCTAAAGCCAATGCGAGACAGTGTGTTCCCCTCGACAGGAGCCGACAGCACTGGATCTGGAGAAAATTCTTCCAGCCCAGCCAGAAATAGCGTAATGCGAATCCAAACTGATTCGAAACAGAGTCGGCAAGTGTTGCCAAGCGTGCCTGGAACGACATCAAAGCAGGCACTGCAATTTGCACACTTGCAGCAGGATCGCAGTGGGCGCCCTATGAACCCGGGAGGGGATGTGCGGTGGCCTCAAACTTGAGTTTGCACCTAAAAATCCTACCAGTTCCCCAGGCAAAAAAACTGGTACGGAGCTGACTCGATCCATGAAGATGCTGGGACAAACCAGAAGCCACCAAAGCCCGAGAGAGTTGAAGCTTTTCGTGGTGGTCTCCAATCCTCAAAGCCTAGCTTGAAAACTTGACAGCTGGGTTGGCCAAGAAAACCATGATCCCCATAGACCAACCAAAGTGTCAACTCTGCATTATTCTGCAGCCAAAAGCAAGAGAAAAGACGTAATCCTGCTCCTGAAGAGAAAGATGAGAAGCAGAAAGTGGCGGCATGGCACAACATTTCCTCAGTGTCTCATCTGGGGTGCTACATTCTCCCAGGCCAGGTATTGCCTACGACAACACTGTCCGCCAAAGGAATTGCCCAAATCTTCCTACTCTCACCAGTAGGGTCAAGACACTATGCAATGTCTAAAATGATGAGACTGCATGAACAAGAAAAAAAGATGTAGAGTTTAGATGGCAGAAAAGGGAGGCCTGTGCTCTCCAAGGTGAAAACCAACCTAAGGGAAAAGGACAGGTCCTACCTTGCAGCCCCAAGGACCTTTCCTGCTCTTCTGCAAGCATGAGCCGTAAAGGTCAAGTGTTCTCGCAGGAAGGATACGTGAAATAAAAACTCCTGAATTCCCTGACTCAGTGCAACACTGGTCCCCATAGCTCCTGCTCTGGGCCCTCCTCCCAAAAGTGGTCTTGGAGCTGACCCGACAGTAGATACGCAATTCCCCCCATTCAGGAGGAGGCTGTAGGGATGGATGCAACATGAGGCTGTGCCCAAGGCGACCTCCACCAAGGTGAGATGCAAAACTCATCCAAACTCAAAAGCGAAGAACAGCTGCCCAAAAATGCTAAGTTGCTCCAAGCCGCAGGGCAGTTTGCAGCCCAGTCAGAAGCAGAAACTCAGTCTTCATCTGGCAGAAAACTTGTCATTTTTCACATCCCTGCCGAAGGGATGGGGTTGCACAAGAGCCATGCAATTGGTGCCTGCGGAAGTCAGAAGAGCCATCGCGGCCTCTGTGCTTGCATTGGTGTTTTAACCTCCCAAATTTGCTAGGCTCAATTTGCACGTAAATGACCCCCATTTATAAAATATCCATCAGTGGAGGCAAACGAGCACGGCAGACACACAGATATGCAGAACGTCGCTAGTCGAAGAGCAAAAAGAGTAATAATTGCTATTAAAAAACAGAAAAACACGAGCAGCGTGCGCAAACACACTCAAGAGGATGAAAAGGCGGAGACAGCTACAGCCCATTAGCCAGCAAATCCGTTAACCTGCTTCAACAAAACCCAAGGCAATTACCGTGGCTTTCTCGCACCGTGCTGAGTTGAAGGCATCTAGGTGACTCGTTGCCTCTGACAGCAAGAGACAGAGCGGCGTCTGGGTGTGGCGGCCCTGGGTGCCAGCAGGGACAACAGCGGGCGCCTGAGTTTCCCCGAGTGCTGGGGAGTTTCAGGGCAACAGCATGCTGCCTGGAAAAGCAGGGTGGATGGGGCAGCTTGGCCAGGCTTGAGGCATCTCCTCAAGGTGAAATAATGCCATGCTTAGGTGACCCTCTCTTGGGCAAATATCCTGCTTGGCAACTGTCCTTCCACCTAAACACGCAAGCTGAAGGCAAGAAAAATATTTCCAAGGCCTTCACCTTGCTTTTAAATTGAATTATTTTGGAAATTAAGGCAAAAATTTTGTCTTTCATCCTTCTGTTTTCTTGTAAGTGAACCAGTTTTCCTGATAGAAGGACAGAACATGATAGAGCGAGGCTGTAGACCACAGAGCCCTG